AGATTGTCACTGGGAGTTGGAGGATGATATGGCTGCTGGCACAAGGAAGGGAGACTTCTAAGCAAAATCCAGTAGTGTTGTTGGTCCAGTAGGTAACAGCTTCTCCCCTGGACTCGAATTTCCAAACCAATACCCAATACTGTAAACAGAATTTCGGCATTGTAGGAGGTGCTGTACTTCGGATGAGAAGTTAAACCGAGGTTAGACCTCTAAACTACTTTGTCAATAAAAAAAACACACCTTCATAAAAGTAATGGAAATAGTTAGTGACCTCTAAATGCAGGATGATTTTAGCCTTTATAGCCGACTATGCCATCTATCAATTATAAAAGGTGCTAGGATATTTTTCCCTCCTCAACGGGTTCTTTCTATCTCTCCCAGAACCACCAGTGTCCCCACGGACCAGACAAGACATACATCCTTACATCATTTCCCTTTTCTATTTCCTTGTGATTACAGTTGTCTATTACGGCCTAGCCAAACAGAATACATCACATAAAAGGCATCTCCGAGGGACACAAGAACCCCACGGACCCCAGTTACCAAACTCCAGTGTGCCAGAGGAGCGGTCCAGCAGTGCTGTTTTCTAAAAAACAGCTCCAGTCGATGCCCTGCTGTGCCTCCTTTTCACCACAGAGCATGAACTCCACAGGTGTAGTCTCAGGTGCCCTCCTCAGTCCAGGCCGTCCTGAGCAATGGATGCCGGGGCCTTTCTCCACTGCTTTCTGTAGAGTCCCTGGTGTCCGAGTCTGCTCCTGGGTGCTGTGGTGCAAACTGCGTTTCTTCTAGAGTCTTCTGTCTGTCTGCTCCCGACTGGTGTTTTCCAAGCCCCCTGAACCAGGGCTCACGACAACAGAACAGAACAAACTCAAGGGCAAGGGCAGCCTGTTACTACCTCTGCTATCACTTCTAATAAAAAAGCAAAACACTCAACCAGGAATTCATATTATGAAAGCAAAATGGGTGCCAGGAGTAATCCTTGACTTCCAGCCATGGGTTTTACTCCTTAAACTCATCCAAGAAACAAACACAAAATCAGAGGGTTCATTTAAAAGTCGTTGGGCAAGTAATGAGCGTACCTATGAATAGATGAATGTCAAGATTTATGTACACTCCAGCAAGCCGATTAATATATGAGATAGGAAAATGTGCTGCCCCAGTACAATAACACTTGAAGAATAAACTCTACCAAAAGTTCCTTATTATTGGAAGATGTGAAATGTGTTTTTTTGTGTGAATATGCCACTGTTATAACTACAGCAGTACGTGACAAAATGCTTTCAGTATTTTCAGTTCTAATGAAGGCAAACATTTATTTATAAACCGGGTATGAGCATGTTTGTTTGTACAAAAAAAGTTATTTCCTGCAATGTAATTAAATCTAAATAATGACACATCCGTTTTTTCCAAAGCTAAAAGCTACCTCTTCCGCTGAAATCAAAGCAATGGAGTCTAGAATGCCGTTTTATGCAATAACCCCAGAGGGCGGCATTGTACTGAGATATCTTTCTACACCCAACATAAATAGAACATATTTGATTTCTTCAAAACATTAAGGCCATGGTTTAAGAGGCAACATATTAATACAGGTTTTGGAGGATTTTAATATTTCAATGCTTTGTCATTAAGCTTGGATGGTGTTTTATACTTTACCAAAAAACTCTAGACTACTGTACAATGTTAGTACTATATTATTATTAGACTTTGGTTAGAGAATAGTGTAATAATTTAATTTATGAATCGTGATAAGAATACAGCAATTTCATGGATACATTTTTGAATGCAAACCCGAAAAAGCACTTTAACTTTGCCCTTTATTCAAACAGATTTGATCATGCCACAGTTTGATAAGTTTCTATCATCCAGCTGAAGAGCTTCCATCTTACTCCCACAATTCAGATTGCTTTTGCAACAGAATCCACTCCTTCTGCTTAACAACCTTGTTGCTGAATCTGTGGAACACACCAGGGAAATAAAATTCAAACCACTTATAAAACAAAAGGAGCTTTATTAATTTAGTGTTGGTACATCTGAATTTCTCTGTGCCAAATGGTATCTGAACATACTGGGAAGGAAGTGTTGGGGCGAAGGGGGTGGGGTGAGGGCTGGCCGTGCATTCAGAATCATTCACGATCGAAGTGAAAATAAGGTGATGCCTGTACACTTAAAACTGGGGCATCCAGGATTTCAAATGAGCAAAACACTGAGTAAAAAAGTTTGCATTAAGATTCACTTTTTATTAGGCTCATGCTGAAATGAAACCACGGATTCCCCTGCCTTGTAAAAAATTCTAAAGCCCTGATTGTGTTTTTACAGTATTTATATACAGGATACGATTATAGTTAAGGCTAAGATTTTGACAAAGGTGCCAGATAGACTATGAATAGTAATAAAATCCCTGAAATCTTGCAAATGGCTTTTCAAAACACTTTCTTCGTCAGCCCATTGTACAGAGCAAGCCACAAAACTGTTCTCCAGATGTAAAGACAATCTCTGAAAAAACAATCGGCAAGATATTGTTTCAGTGTTTGACCAAGAATCGCATCAAAAGCACACAGAGGAAAAGGTCATGACTGGAGACCACTATCAACTCACCCTACACTTGGAATATAATAAATAATGAATAAATTAATTAAATACAAAAAGCACAGATGTGCTAGGTATGCTCTCCAACCATGTCACTGCACAGCAACAATAATAAACAATTCTGCTCTGTGGTAACAAATTGAACACTACCTTCACGTAAATGCATTACATTCAAAAGTATTCCAGTAGAAATTGTAGCTGTAAAATATCCTGTGTTCTGCTTCCTTGTGATCAAAGATTATCGTTTTAGTTCCCTGCAAAGTTGCAGGGACATGTGAACTGGTAATAGACTTAAAAACAGTTTGGTGCCAAAATCGTAGCCTTAATTACACTAGAAACAGCTATGTGTGTTCTTGAGAAACAGAAAAGAAACAAAAGGCAGCCCTTTTTCAGAGTCTGAAAAGAACAGAAGCTGTTTGATATCTAGTTCTGGGTCAAGTGTGAACTGAGGCTAGTCTTGCTGTGAATGGCCCAGTCCAACCCCTGTAGCTGGCTTAAAAGTCCCAAACAGGTAAATACATGACACTGCGGAGATGCTGCCAAAACAGCTACTTCATTAGCAGCTTTAACTAATCACTAGACCTATGCGTTTGGCAAACATTTGCCTGCCTTTACTCCTTTTCCTTAACCACATCTTTGTTAATCTCTTGATTGCTTTATAATTGTGGAAATTATGACAGTTTTCTAAACTATACAAAGATTCCTTTTTGACAGATGGACCAGTGCATAACTACAGTTAAGTCAATGGATTATATGATTGTAGCATTCAATCTGCAATGAAGAGACTGTTCTAGAAACTCATGCAGAGGAGAAAGGCTTTTAACATTTCACCTTGCTAACACCTCCAACCATTCACTTCAACCTCAGTGTATAGCCACTGAAGCAGAAGGTTCCCAACTGATTAAAAAGAGAGGAGTTGGGAACAGGCGTATATATTATTGTTTCAAGCATTGCTTTTTGAGCTGTAAACCCGAAAATATGCATGCCTGAAAGCAATTCTTCTAAAATGTTGTCGCTACCAAAGATGAACTTTCAAAAATGTGTTTGCTTAATGTTGTATACTATTAGGGCATTAGAATTTACATCTGGCTCTTAATACAATGAAACACTGATCGAAATGTGTTAACTTGAATCAGAACCAGTGATATAATGCAAGCAATGAATAAATAATGTGAATATAAGGTTTATGATTCAAATGGACATCTTCACTTTCACTTTTTAATTGATTGGGATATATATCCCTATAAACTACTGTGTATCACTGTGTAAAATGCCTATAATGAAGACTGTAAACTAAATAAGCAATAATAAAATATAATTATTTTCATAACAACAAATGTATGCCCTTTAAGTCACAGCTATGGTTCTGAATGCCTTTTTTGCACTGAATTTCACTCAAGTAGGGTGAATTCCACCTGTACTGATCACCTTTGCGTTTAGCCTGTCAGCAGTATTGACCTGTAGAACCTAGATGACAATCTTCATGTAAAACAAGAATACAGTTAAAAACAGCTCCATGTCTGTTGCACCATTTCTGATTCTCATGAATGCGGCATGAGAAGATTTTCTGCAAGATGAAAGAAAGATGGAGGTACACGTAGTGAAATATCAGGTCTGGCTTATATCTAAATCAAGTTAACTGCATTTAATACACTTACAGGGAGTTATAGAATTAAGGTGAAAGAAACTTGATTTTTCACAAAATCCTGTACATATAAATCTATGCTGCAGTTACGGTACTTTTGAACTGAACTAACAACACAGTGCATGATACCAAATATCATGTTTTCTTTTTAGCATGAATCTGTTTAAAACAAGTTCAATGTATGCATCCTAAAACACATTATTTAATGTAAACTAACAACTTATATTCAGAAACTTTGAAAATATGTAGTGTGCACACTTGAAGAAATAGTTTAAGGTTTAGTGATGGGCCACAGCTACATATCATAACCAGATTGAGATTCAAATAATATTGCAAACAGCGTTTCAATAGTATTAAGACTGCATCAAAATGACCCAGTTTAACAACTTGTATCCTGCTGATAATGCCTCTACCAAATACCATCCATTCAACTAGGTAAGACTGGCTAGTTCACGATCTGTCCTCTCTAACTTTGAAGGTGACAGCCTCAAAGTGGTCGAGAAAGCGAGCAAGGTCAGCAATCAGCAAGCAAGTTTGTCCAAGTTGAATAGATGGCAGAGGTGTAATTAGTAAGTCTCAACTCGATCAACAGGGCAAATATGCGATCTTAGAACTACCGGAACAGTGTTTGCCAATGCATTTGTACACGTCAAGAGCCAGTCATGGCTTTTCATGGATAAACAGTGAGTAGAGAACAGAGAATACCACTAAGAGTGGTTCATATCCCCACTACAGTCTAGCTCCCTAATTCACAATGACCAAAAACTAAGGCAAGCAGAGTCTGATTGTTCCTCAGATAAAAGGACACTTGCCTGCACATACAACACAAATTCACAACAGTGCATCTCTATGTATGTATATGCACACACACGAGACCCTCTCTCCCAAACCCTTACTCTTTGAGTTTCAAGATCATGTTTTTTGTTCTAGAAAATGTGTTCCTGTACAAATCCTGACATTACAAGGCCATTTCTGCAAACTAATCCTCAACATGGCTCCAATTAGAGTTTTCTTTCAGGGCCCATTAGTAATATTAAACATATCGTTACTGAGAATAACACCAAAGAGCCTGCTTTTAGGAAAGCAAGTCACAAATGTACACATATACATTACATAGCACCCTGTATAGCTTCTGAGGGAAAGCAAGGATAAACTGTATTTCAAGGAGGAGTGTCAGGCAACTGCTGAGGTCCTTCCAAATTCTCATCCAGATACTTCGCATTCAGTATATTAATATTAAGAGTAGTAATAATGATATTAATAAAAAGAAAAGAGACAGTCTTGATTCCAGGTTGGTCATCTGGAGCGATCAGAAACAAGGAGGTTACATCATTCTCTAAAGTGGAGTGTTGTGGCTTCCTCTGCCTCTCCACAGCAGACGTGCAAAAGTCTTCATGAATGGCACATGGCAGCAGGTCACCAATCTTTAACCAGGTTGCACTGGAGCTTGTGTCTCTCTCTCTTTTTCTCTGTCCAGGGTCTGTCAATTTGTTTTCTCTGCTTGTGTTTATGTAAAATGTTTCGCGCTCTCCCCCCCCCATTCTCACATTGCGTATTTTTGTGTCCATTCTCTTGCTAGTCTGTTGTACCTGCAACGCAGACAAAGATGAAATGTTAATTGCTGGTGTTTTGACAACACAGGCCAGGTATGTAAAAATCAGTGCCTCAACTTTGTAAAAATACTTTGTTACACTTCAATGAGTGCAGCTTTTTATTTGATCTTTAACTGAACATTGAGTAAGAGTGAATCTGAAGGTGAATAGGAGAGGTCAGGGAGGCACAATATATAACACCAGGTAAAATGAATGTGGTACCTGTAATCATGAACACAACTGCAAGGCTGAAATGAGGCAGGAGAAGGGCACTTGAGGATACCTACTTTTCCCTGTCAGCTTTGTAGGTGTGAGCGATCTCTGGTACCAGTGGATCATCAGGGTTGGGGTCACAAAGGAGAGAGCAGATGGACAACAGAACTGCACAGCAGAGGGAAATAAATTAAAAATTACAAGCCGCTCTGTAATTCATTTTTATTCCATTTTTCCAATTTTGTTTTCTTGACTTTGCCTTGCAGTCCTCATGCACAAAACAGGATTTCAAGTTACTTTTTAGTAAATACTGGAGGGTTGGGCTTCTTTTCATGCAACCACTCCTGATACGGACATCTGGTTAAAAAATAAGTCAAAATCAATATTGATTACAAATGATAAAACCATTACAAGCAGAACTGAATTGTTAACAGAAGACCCATTACAAACTTTACAGATTCATATCTACTGTAATCAGGAAGCAAACCGGAGCACCAGTGTTGATTTTACAATAAATAGGTTGAATGTTTATTTTTTGTTTCCTGGGGATCCCTGCACAGTCTTTGAGAACTATAATAATCAGCAAACCAAATTCGTAAACTTATCTGAAAAGAGCAGTTTGTTGGTATACAGTAATGTTATCAATAAATAGCATTTTTACATTTTTTTTTCAGTTTGTTACCATCATCTGCTGTCTCCGTTCCATTAATACTTGAGATAATTTCACAAAAATAAGGAATTAAAAGTTTAGAACATTAAAACAAACCACTCTACATCAGACCTTGAACGGCAGAATATTACAGGTTCTAATACTGTGTACTAAAGGTTATATAAAATGAAATCTTAAGAAAACAACCAGTACAGTTGAATAACTGCATAGAGGTGGAGATCAGGCAGTCTGGAAAGACTTGAAGTTGCCCAACACAGCCTTAAATACCTCATCTAGGATAAAAGGCATGTGAAGTGTGAATTGAATTACCCCCTATCGTAAAAGCAACGATCAAAGGACACAAAACGGGTAAAAAATAAAACCAGTTTATCTCAGTTTAAAGCTACTACAAAAGCCCAGGTACTAAAATACAACAGAGCTAATGTGAGTAAAAGCGCCTAAAAACGTGGCTGTGTGCTTTTTTCTCCTTGGGAGACATGAAAGGCTCTTGAGACACCTACACAGTGCTCAGGCTTTCATCTCCATTGCCATGACAACGGTTGCTCACTCCGAGCTGTGACTGACCACCTATTTGCTCATCTGCGTGACACACAATGGCTCTGAGACGCACAAGCTCAAGTTCATACGCCCCTCTGAGGAGAACGAGGGGCTCAGCTCAGCTGCTTTTGTCCTCTGCTTTACTGGAGCAAGAAAACATAATGATTACTTACTTGTTTCAGAAATGATAGTAAAAATGTCCTCCAGGCCAAATCTGAACCTAGTATCTAAAACGCTAAGTATTCATTTTGATGAAGTTCCGCTCAGTTTAAAATATTGAAAACGGCTATAAACTATTATATATAAAACAAATTATTTGTAAAAATCCATGCAAAATGTAAAACCAGCTTGGATCTACATGCAAGTTAATAATTGTCTTCCAGATGTCCTCAGGTTCCATGCAAAGGTGGAGGTGAATTTATTTTAACACAATATTCAAACCAAACTTTTACTGATTATCTTGTAATAAATAATCATAAAAAAATAAAAAAATACAAATTGTATCAACATAAATAAACTAAATGTTGTGCATAAGGAAAATGTACAAAAAGAGGACATGCTTGAAAGAATTAATTTCAAAAATCACAAAAATAAATGAACAGTACATTGGTCCAGCAAGATTATTTTGCAATCATTAGATTACCCATAAATTTAGCAGCCATACTTAAGCCTTACCTAAAGAACAACGTGTCCTTTTGGTAGGACAACCTGATTACTTCAGGCTATGCATCTATTAATTATGTCCATTATGCCCACACCATCTTTTTGTGCTCAAGTGCCAATTACCACATGTCACTCAAAACGAGTGGGTCTAATGTGCCTACTGGGAGCTATAATGTGCTTTAAACAAGCCAGGTCTGTGTAAGATGCGAAGATGTGGGAACATGACAGAACTGACTGGTTAGTATAACAGTATTTACAAAAGGTAAATTTCATCATGCAGTGTTTTTATCTTTAAAAAAACCCATGGGTATTTTTGGACTCTCAGAAGTGTGGCAAGGCCGGACCTGGTCAGTAATGGGATATGAGATCTCAAGACAAAGCAGGGAGGTGTTGGCAGGTCAGTAGATGGTGCTCTTCCCTATGGATCAAAGTTTCCAAAACCAACACCCCACTGTAGTGTCATACCATCCTTTGGGTGAGATTTTAAACCAAGGTCCTGACTATATAGTCATTAAAGTTCCCATTGTGCTGTTCCTGCAAGAATGGCTGCTGTGCATCACCCAGGCTGGACTGCGCTTAGGAGGTGGATGAAGTGACCCCTGCTTTATGCAAAACTCTTTAGGATTCCTTAGGGTGAAAAGCACTACATACAGTAAATGCAATAAATTATTAGGACTAGGTTATATATTCCCAACTCAAAGTCCACCTACTTTTAAATGTATTTTGAATAACAAGGAGCTGAGCTGCTAAATTAAAAGAACATAATCTCTCTGAAAAGGCAAAGTTTTTTTCTTTCTTTTGTACACACATTAATCCAGGTGACAAAGCTAATGCGATATGTATTTTACCTCACGTCTACTGTTTTTCTGATGTTCAAGACTGAAATCCCTCTTTACAGCTTATATTGAAATCAACATTTACAAGCTTGATGTCCTGACAATAGACATACATGAACAGTTCTCTCAAAAACAGATTCTTCAATGTCAATTTACAGTAGCAATTGACTGATCTTATGATCTCTAATGTATACTGTTAAATCGATTACAGACAGAATTTTTTTCTATATTATATTTAAAAATTGTCTTTTTTTATATCAGGATATGTGTAGTAACACATTTTCCAAATTCCCATTCTCAACCGTAAGAATTGCTCATGAAGATCCTGGAAAAAAAGATACCAAACAGGTTTACCAACACCAAGTAAAGTGAAAAATCTAGGATAGGATGGCGAGTTTTCCACTGTAATACCCTATGAATGACTGTCAATGGAAAATACCAGGCAATTCCCTCTGAAGACCATGACATACCTTTCGATACTGTGAGTGCTGGTGACCACTGTGACCGTAAGATATCAAGGCAGATGCTGCCGTTGCTGTTAATATTGGGGTGGTAGATCTTCGTTGTGAAAGCAACCTAGAACGGAGGTGACATTTTAGACACACTAACGCAGATATATAGATCCTTTATAACAGATGTTGTTGCAGATAAAATACAATTTCAGAGAATGAGCAGCCCTTGAATTGAGAGAGTGTTCTACATCTAAATGTCTTTGACAAAAGTTATCTATATTTGATCATATAAAAAAACTAGATGTTAATGTTAATGTGCATATACTGAAGAATTATTTAAACTTTCCACGGGAGAAAAAGGTCTTATTTCAAAAAGAATCCTTACATATGCATTTAAAAAGCCGAGTTCTGAGCAAAAAAAAGATCTAAAAGCAAAGGATTCCCCTGTGTAACTACATGTAAAATAACAGTAAAATAGGACACATCTAAAACACCACACTGTAAGATTAGAAAATACTATACTTGGGCTCCCAGGTGGCTCAACAAATCAAGGCTCGTAGCTCGAGCACCGTGGCCTTGACATCACTAGTTTGAGCCCGGGTCTTGTTACAAGCAGACTTTGATTACAATTTCCCAAAGAGCATGCTGACGAGCCTTAAAAAACTGGCGATTCCAAACTGGATGGTTAAATAATACATATAACTGACAGTTTCACATTTATAACAGAAAAGAAAATCCTACAGTCTGATAAGGACAAGACAAGCTTACCTTTGGTGGTTTGAAAGGATAATCTGTAGGAAAATGTATGGTCAGAAAGAAAACCCCACCTTGGTAAGGACTGTCGTTCTGAAAACGATAAAAAGAGAGGAATAAGAGAACAATCTCTATAGCGAAAATTGAAGGTGCTACAGAAGAAAATGAAATTTGGAATGGGAAAAAAAAACAGCAGCTACGTACCGGTCCCATGATTGTTGCCTGCCAGTGAAACACTGAAACATAAAAAAAGAACATGTCAGTGATCATTTTTTTTTGTTACAGAAAACTCTGCCCTGGCACATACAGTCAAAAACCAAAAACAAGATGGACTGCCTCCTCCAAGTGCTGAACTTTCGTCTGATGCAAGATGCAAGTCTGTAGCAGAAACAATTGGCCTCAAAGAGATTCTTATGCTTGTAGAATACATACAGTTCAAGAAATTAAACATGACAAAAGGAAATTGTTGGACTTCATACCTTAAAAGAACATGGTAGTGACTTAACTGTTAATGTTACTTTTAGAACTTTACTTTTATATGACCTTTTTTTCATGAAGAAAAATAAGATATACAGTATAGCCTCTGGATAAACAGCATGTGTATGCAGTAGTGTTACCACTTTGTAAACTGAACTAAACAAGGCTCAGACCAGTCACTACATGGATAGGAGGACTCCAGGAACAAATGAGCTGCTGCTGCAAGTGGTATGTTACCGTTTGCTCCAGAATTCCCAATGCACCACCTCAGTGTGGTGACCAAACAGACAGCACTGTTGGAGATGCCATCCTTCAGCTGAGATATGTGATAACTACTTGGACATTAAAGGTACAATGGTACTTTTCTCCCAGTCGGGGTTGATATAGCCCGGCCTTCCTAAAGTCCCCCCTTAATTTAACAGCAAAGGAACTGCTCACTTTTCCACCTGATCTGTTGTGAATTGCCACCTCACCAGCCACCTTGAGTGCATTAGAAAATCCCACTATGGTAAATGGGGATTGGTTAGCTAAGAGCAACCAGCAGAGCAAAAGATAATATCACCATAGATTAGTTTTAGGAATCAATACGAATATTTCTTCTCCCAAAGTCCTTTTTAAACTTCAGACACAACACAGACAATAGAACAGCAAACGGTGTGTGCACCAAAGCTGACTGCACCCCTTTAAGGAAGGAATTGTAGCATCACATAAGAATTTACTTTTCACTAGGGAAAACAAAACCCAAGAATTAAATGTGTAGAAAGATCTGAATGCTTGAGTCACAAAAAAATCAGCAGTACCCTGTGTGGCTGAGGGTAACCTCCTGGCCAGAGGACGAGGAGGTGAGAACCCCTCTAAGGAGTGAGGAAGGGGCAGCTGCAAAGGTGGAGATGGAGGTGGGCTGGGAGGCAAGGGAGTGAATAGGGATTCTATACAATATTTATCTTTTTAGGTGGGGAAATGGCATCAGTAATGTTTTTTTTTTGCTTTAATCTTTGACAGGTACAGTATATTCACTTTCAATTCAATATTTTCAATTTATTTATAAAGTTGTAATGTATTAGCTAATACAGGTAATATGCTGAAAGTTTCTAATTTGTTACCAATTAAACTTCAGTAAAAAAAATATATGGAATAAGATGTAATTTTCAATACCACTTTACACGTTATAATGAGAGCAAATTAAGTCCATGGGCTTCCTGAACCACTTATATTCTGGAAGCAGTATGCTTACCAGATGTTATCTGACACTGTGAACACAGGCATGCCATTAAGAACCTCAGGATCAATTCTTAACAGTGAGACTCTAGCTCATACTTACAGTCATCTCCCACTGGCCCTGCTGAACACTGTGCAGGAGGGTCTCTTTGTAAATCTGTCAACTCCTGTTAAGGCAAAGAACAAAAAAGGGGTTCAATCCCACATCAGCTGCAGTTACCTTTGTCTCATAAAACAGAGAAAGACATTTTTACACCACCTTTCTAAATCAGCCTTGATTTAAAAAAATAAAATAAGACAAAGTCATGATTAACAGGCACAAAGCAATGCATGGTTTAAAATCAGAACCTAATAAGTTGATATTTTTGTGTATTCATTTCTTAAGCCATCTGCGCTCTCCACCTACGTTATGCAAAAGAAATAAATAGCACAAATCTGTAAGCATTCATAAACTGGTGACAAGAAGAATGCTTCACTTTATAAAGCTGAAAAGTGCATTTAAGTACATAAATCCCAGTTAGTCACCAAGCCATGCTGCCAGTGTGAACACAGGCCAGGAACATGCCTCAGCACTTGGGCCTTGGGCAAATATATGCAGGGATAGACTATGAAACTCTGTCACTCAGCCTTTGTGCTGCAGTAGGATTAGTCAACACCAGCATACCTGACGATTAAATTAACCTCAAAAGGAACACCTGGGACGCAACTGTGCATGAGATTTTTTAAAAGAGGCCCAGGGATTATTTCTGGAGCTTTAGAGTGTTCTTAGTTTGTTTTATGCTGCTGCATATTTTTGACTTTTTATCTGTGTGAGTGCCTGGCTTGACAGGTGACAAATTGGGTGTCTGGGCTGAGTTGAGAAGAAAGAGATCTCTCCTGAACACTCGAAGGCAGTGCTTCAGGGCTTGGCACACTGGTTGGATCTCTAATTCTGACATTTCAGATGGAGCTTTCTCTTAGGAGGGGGTAGGCATATCGCCTCTGCCAGAGACTTTACCGAGGGAAGAATGAGGACACAAGACATGTTTTAGGAAACCAAGCATTTTTGCAAATTGATCATATACTGTAAAAAGAACACACCTCCAATAAAGACATACACACCTGTTTCATCCAAACTTAGCCATTCCCTAGAACTTTATAGCAATGCTTCACTTTACCCAGTAACCTTCTACAGCACAAGCGTTACCTACTAACATCTCAATGGGGGAACTATATGTAAATCATATGGAGGAAAATGATTAGGACTCACATTGCAATGCTGTTTGACCTTTTTCCTTTTTAAGACTAATTTGTAACTCCTACTCCACGTGTGGGTCTAGGTAAATCAACCCAAATTAAGATAGGAATCTAGGTTTTAAGCACCTGGTTCTGACTTAGTTAAAATATCCAAGCTACCTATGAAATTTGAAGCGCAACATGCAGTGTTCCTTTGTTCCCAGATAAGGGACAATTAACTATGTTTACTTGGGAAACTGCAAAATACCATTGTGAATATCAAATACTACAGCAGTGATGCTTGTGTGCAAACCCTGGTCTTTTGACAGCTCTGTCCTAGACTGCACAGATGTATAACACTATACCCAACAAATATGGTTAGTGGCATGTTACTGTTACTTGATGTCACTGTAAACATCTAGTTATAAATACAAAAATCTTGACAATGTGATCATTTTATGATAAGGCAGAGAAGTTATTTCAGTTAAATATGAGTGATCCTCATGGAATTCCACTCACAATGCTCCATCCCAGTAAAAAGTTATGATTTGTAAAAATGCTCATGTTTTCTAGCCTGGAATAACCTTTTTTAAAGACTTCATTGACATACTCTGCACTTCACTTATTTTATTTCTGGCTCAGTGCACAAACGGTCATCTGCATGTAACATTCTGATAAAAAAGCTTCTGAAAAAATGTTCAGAAAGCTAAGTGCTTGAGCTATACAGCATTAACACAGAACACAACTAAGAGGACTGAGTACCTCATGTTTTCACAATATTTTTCTTCTTGGATGTGAACATAATGGTATAAACAATCCCTTAAAAACAGCAGTGTTTGTTCCACACCAATTCTCTAAGGTACCATCTCCTGTAAACATTACAGGACAAATTTAAAAGGTTTATAACTGAGGAGCTAGAGCCAGCTTTGAAGGATTTTGATAGGGAATGATAAAAGCTTTATTCGCCAAACTACATTTTGAAGATCTTTAAACTGTGCCTTTTTTCTTTAACTAATTAACTTTCTGCAGCATAGCTGTTTCGACGACAGATGTTAAGATCCTACTCAAGCTTAACTAAATTGAATGAAGAATAAATTAGATTTTAAACGCACAATACAAAAAGCGTCCATCTTTACTGTTACCACATTAAGATTAATTTAAATGTCCAAGCTTAAATACTGTCCCTTTCACTTCGGTGTTTGCTTGGGTTTTGCTGGGTGCTCCAGTTTTCACCTCTCATCCCAAAGACAGTCAGGTTGCCTGTACTGTCCTTCCGAGGTTAGAGAGCATTCCCACTTCATCCAGAACTGGCTATGGGACTACAGAAAAAGAAATAAATGAGCCTGGTGGGCTGAGTTGCCTTGTCTCATCTGTGGCCTTTCTGTAATGCCTCATGGTCTGAGTCACAAAATAATTTTGTATTCTGGCCTTCAAAGGGATCCCCTTTGCAAAGGGCTATCCAATGAAACAATATTATACACCCTTAACAGACACAGCACAGTTGATTCTAATGCTTCTGACTGACCTTCACTTTCTCCCTTCACCAAAGCAAGTTTTGATACCCAAGTATTTCCCCCTACTGTATACATTAATGCTATATGTAGAACAGAAACCAGTGTGTGGCATTAATGGCATCAGCACAAGCCTGCTCTCTCAACCTCCCACTCTCCCTGTCAGCTTCTCTCTTCTTGCTATATATAGCACTGCATGCCTTGCAAAATCCACACAGAAAGAGGGACGAAGTTAATATTGATTAGCATATGTTGCAATGAGGGGCAGGATCTGATTGCTGAGCATCAATCAGTAAGGGTTCCAGTCTCAGGGAAGGATCTACTTCAGTTTCAATTTCTGTCACCAGCAATACCGAGAAGTCAGCTTCCCTCACACTTGACAAACTTTCTCTCCGCTGACAGAAATTAACGAAGCGAATCAATTGTTGGCAAACATGAGTAAAGAGCACTGTAAGTATCCTTATGAAAAAACCCTTGCATGCAACTCCAGAAATGTGCCTGCCTTTTGTTTTTTAAACCACAAAGGTTGGGCTTTAAAGGTCTGCCTGTTTCTGAACTGAATCCTGTTTCTGAACTGAAACAATACTGCTGAAAGAGCTGAAGTACAGTAGATGATACTTCTAAAGTCCTCCACCAACAGTTTAGAAATGTTAAAAAAAGCACAGAAAAGAGCAATCAAATGACCTGATGTGACTTTGGGAAAAACAATAGGCCCACTAATGAAATTAAACATTCAAAATATTTTTAAAACTGCAGTAAAAAGCACTGAGAAGATAAAGGCAGGCAGTAGAAATTTTGGCTTGAGAAATTTGCTTTTATTATAAATGACTATTCCCTCTGTCTTCATAATAATCCAGATTAAAGCATGCGCTTTCAGTCATTTCTTTTATTGCCTGAAAAACTAAATTCTGGTTTGGAAGGAAGTCGAGTAACTGGTTTGAAACCGTAACATAAAACTGAGTTAATATTCCAAATCCTTCTGTAAGAAAAACAGAACTAAAGTGTTCTATAAATCATACAATTACTTGTTTGATATAGCCTATGATGTGTATATAACTCACATTCCGGTACGGACAGTAAACTGCAGTAGCTTTGAAAGAATGCTACTTTCAAGGATGGTGTCTTATCTATGCTGTGAATTGCAAATATATCTTCATGAATAACGTGTGCAAAAATCAACAAATCTTCATTGTATGGTCGTTCATTTTACATCATTGACGTAGTGATTGTTTACACACCAAAAAGACTAAAATCACTGGTTTTAAGGTACACAATCTTTGTTACAATTATCTATATTCTCAATAACAATGTAACTGTAAACACACTAACACTGCAACACTAATTAACAAGAAAACACATTAACCAGTGGGCCCAACAAGAGAGCCCCAGAAGCTGATGTTTTAGAGATGTATTTAAATTACCACCTAAAACGATCACATTCATCTTGACTAATTAAATTAAAATTAACTCTATAAAAAAAACCTCTCCCTGACCAGGAGTCAGACACTTCAAACACACAGGGGAACAAAATTGTGTTCTGGTAATAATAAACAAGAACTTCATATCATCACCTCTTCTCGCTAGTGCTTTTCACCTATGGCTGCACTGGACTGTGCTATGCAAGTCTGCTTTTCCACAAAAATCTTCTCAGTCTGTATTCCTCGATCTAACTGCTACTGGAATTCATAGTGACCACGACAAACAAATCAAGCCATAGATAACAGCGTACTACCAAAACAGCATGTAGTAAAACATGAATAACATTAAAAATAACCTTATAGAAAAAGGCAAATAGTACGAAGGCTTTACTCCACCATTAACCTGCACATGTATTTGAACACAAACTGGACTCCTCTTCAGGACCTTAATGGAAGGGCAGCTACTGAATTTACAGAAGGTCACAGAAGCCTCAGCCAAAACTACTAGCAGACCTGCAATATGCAGAATAAACTGGATGTGTTTTTGCAGAATTCCAACAAATAGAGAAAGAGAATAAACGATAAATACGATAAATTAGTGCCATTTTTTGATTAATTTAAAAGCATGGCACAAAATGCAACAACTATCATAAAACAGGAAGTGAAGTGAATATCCTGATTCACTGTTGAAGTATACATTAATCTGGGCTACAGCAGAAATCGGCCCGGTGTCACGTTTTCCTGTAAATGAAAGACACAGAATTTTGGATTATTTGAACGACTAAATTGTTTTTCTCCAAAAAAAAAAGATATTTAAAACATTTAAATTGTACATAATAAAAAACCTACACTAGGTTACACTAGGTTCAACCTACACGACATAATAAAAACCAACAACTAGATAGAAAACATGCAAATTAATGCTCTTTGGTTTCAAAGAACCTGAGATTCAAGTCAAACCCTGGGAAAATAAAAATGAAGTCCAATTACACTCTTAGATCAGTTTCAATTCTAACCACTGTTGGAAGAGCACACCTGGTGCCTTTATGGTAAGCAGCACACATTGGAGAGATACAGTCAAATCCAACCCTACCATTTCGGACATACACTGTGCAGGACACCCTGGACTCACTGCGTTACATAGCACTGGCGCAGATCATTTCAAGACACTGCAGGGCTCATACACCGACTCGCGTCAAGACTCTTCAGATCACCAAGTAAAAAGTACTCCGCGTTTTTTTTTCCATTGTGGGAGCTGGGCTATACAGAAACCATCTGCCACTTGCTTGAAACTGTGTTGGCATTCACTGGCATAGCTAAGGGGCTAGGTGAAGTGTTAAATTTAGGAGATTTCATCACGTTTGATTTTACATCAAGCCAATGGAAACAGCTGTCAAGGACAGATTATAGCTGCTCCCTTTTGCTTCTGCCTTGTTCATCGTGGTATTCCACACTGCTGTCACCTAGAGCACACAGCACAAAGGCTGCGATTTCCTCGTGTTCCCAAATGGTCTAATCCGGGATCTGAAAGGACTGTGTACACGAACACTTTTTAATTCTGTTAAAAATACCCTCGCCTGCCACAGTGTCCCATTTGCTACTCCATATATGGAAGCATTGACATTGGGGTTCAGTATTTGGCAACCTGCTCCCAGCTGTCACACACTGAGCTTGCGCACTAGCCTCTCTCACTCATTCACAGCCGGCCAGGGGGGGACACGATTTAGCAACACTCCCCCCTCCCCCTCTTATACCACTATGCAATAAGTCAAATATTTAAAACATCAATTCACGCTTTAGTGATGTATGAACTCCCACAGTCAAACATATGCCGTTTTTAAAAGGCTAGGTTAGTCCTTATGAGAGCGACCGTTGGTCATTTTATTTTCTGCTGTTCAGATAAAAATAATAATGCAGCGAAACACTAGGGCTTTCACGGCGAGAAGGATCGATTCAATAAATTAAATTGTCAAAAATGACCGAACACTACAGAAAAAAACCACTCACCTTTTGGATTCTTTTCAACGCCATTGCTGACTTGTTTTATTTTTAATAAATCCCAAATAGGCTCAAATTGAATGAATAATATGTGGGAAGGTTAAATGCGTCTGTTTTAGGGCTCCCGTATTAATGCCTCTTGTTCAATGGTAGCGTTATATCGGATTAAACTGCGGTTTCCACAGCACTCCGGAATCTCTCTCGCTGCTCGCCAACAGCATCCAGACACTAGCACCGCACTACCGCGAGAAACCGGATACGGATTTACCGGCTGGTTTTCAGGGGTCGACGGGAAATGTAGTTTTCTGAGCACCTAAAGTACTATTGACCCTGGATGACTCAGGTGAAATATAGTTCTTATACCTCAAGGATGTGAGCCCTTTATGGCTACCGAGAAGTCGGGAGCCGAACACACCGCTTTTTTTTACCTGAGAATGAAAGAAACTCTTCAGACTCCTCTATTCCCCCAGTCTGCAAACTATTGGAACTAATTTTGCCTCCCTCTTCCTACCCTGCAACGTCTGAATTTTTTGCCAAAAGAAGGCATGTCAAACAAAACACGATAAGATAACCATTTTCATTTTCTTCTCTCCCCCGGGGTTAGACTATCTACAGAACATCGATATGAAACAATCCCATTCATTATGAAAAAGCCCCTCTCACGATAAGCCCATCATAATTATTATTGTAACCATGATCATTCTTGGCTGGTATACTGCTTTATAAGGCACAGGTAGGTAGCACTTTACATGTTTCATATAGTTAATTCAATCATAACATAGTTTAGCATTGTAAAACAGTAATTACTATGATAACATGGTCATGTCGTTTTTTGTGGAATCAAAGTTTACCGTCGATTAACACAGAGTAACATAACACAGAGTATGTCAGTGAACCATGGAATACAACACTTTGGATTGGCTTATACAGACGTTTTGATTTATGTACAATTGGGTTTTATTCGATTACTAACCAATTTGTTCTTTCACTGTGATTCACAGACTACAAGGTATATATAGCTTTTCTTGTTTCTTCCTGCTCTTACTAGGTTGGGAACAATACTGTTATCTTGAGAATTGCAGGACTGATTATTGCGTTTGTTTATATAAGACTAGACTGCGCACAATGCACTCGAACCTACAGTATGTTCGACGAAATTCTTGCATTTTTGAGCTCACTGTTTCAGAAACAACGTTCGCAAAATCTGTTTCAGTTCATACGCCAAAACATTTTTAGAACTTGTTTTTAATTCAAAATAGTGACTAGTAAATATAGTGAATAGTAATGAATCCCAAAGAGATCTTGCATGTCCTGTATCTTATTAGATATCCATGTATTGTCATCTTCCGGAGGGGGGCAGTCTTCAGCCGTTAAATAAGCAAAGCTGCGGGAACGACAAAGGTATTATTATTATTATTATTATTGTGGTTGTTGTTGTTTACAGTGTATAAACATTTTGAGCTGCAAAAACGTTTAATTCGAATCTTTCAGTCACGTTATCAAAACACTGCAATTACTTTCTTAAAGTTTGACATTTGTGTAGACCTTTCAGTTCATTAACTCGTCACATTGTGTTGTAATGTTCGTTACATACAATACATGATGCAGCATTTGAACTATGAAAAAAGGAAGTTCATCATTAATATGAGATCAAATGGAAAAGTCATTATTGCATAAGCCTTCAAACTTTTTGCATTGATTAACCTAAATTAAGTTCGCAAAATCACCTAAATGAGCCACACTTTGCCGAGTGTCCTCTGTGTGCAGTTATAGTGGTTCTCGAGATTTCAGAATAAAAAATGCCCTCAATGAGGTTTCTTAGTCAAGTGAATTTCAAGCAAAGATTCGCCCATGAAGACTCAGGGGCTTTCAAAGCAAATCGGGTTTACAGTAATTGTGAAACGTAAATCAGGAGAAGAGTAAAAAAAAGCCCGTCTCCAAATCTCTTCACGGTCTACTCTGTCATCACGAAATTGAAAGTGCATCGTACCAGACACTGCCTAGATCAGCTCGTCCCCCAGACAGAGTCGGGAATATCTCGATGATGTCGAAAACAACTTTGAAAGAGCTACGGATTTCAACGGCAAAAGCTGGAACTTGAATGTGTTATGGCAACGGGTTACTAGTGCCGCAATACCAACACAGATTCCTACAGTCCAGCGCGGGGGGGACAGCATCAAGTTGGAGGACAGCTCCTTGGCAAGGACTGGAAAAAAAACTTGCTAGGTTTTAAGGGAAAGCGGATGGAGAAGCAGCTTGACGACTACTAGAGGAAAATCTGCTTCTGTCTGTTAAAGAGCATAATAAACTGAGACATTCCAGATGGAGGCCACACTTATAAAGAGGCTTCCGTGCAGACAATAAAGTAAGCACCTGTTGTCCATCAGTTTGTGAGTCGTGTTTCTCCCTGAAGCGAGAGCTGCACAGCTCCGTTTCTTTCCAGAAGAGGACACTCGCGCCGCTGCTTCACTGGCCTAGGAACTCAAACTTCCTCGCTGCCAACCCTTTCCCCGGAGGGCCTTAACTTCCACATGGGTTTATAAAATGAATGAAAAATGACTGGATCATACAGAGTTTCTGTAACATAACTAAAAAAATGATTTAGACTCCTTCATGATGTTTCCGTAAATTTTACAAATAGTGCAGGTGTTACCGAATGTGTTAAGAGGATCGAATACTGAGCTTCCTCTGTCAAAAGCTGAAAGCTTTTTTTATCCTCCGTTAACCTAACTTCTAGTCTTTTTCAACTCACACGCCAGGGGTATTTTATTATTATAATCGATTATTTTACAACGCCTTGTATTTGTTATGCTAATCGGTAATCGGTTACCTTGTTAATCGGTCTTGTTAATGAAACGCCAACTAATACTTGACAGGACTGATCTAAACTAGCCCAGGAAGTACAGGAAAATATTCTGGATACAGAAACGTTATTGAATATAGTCTACTGTTTATCTTTACAACTTTAGTAAAAGCAATAACATTGGACTGTGAGGGTAATAAATTAGATTTTTTTTTAAAAAAGAGTCTTTGTTGAAGTAATTTTATACAGCACATATTGAAAAAAGTAATGAGATGTCATTGGATCGTTATGTATCAATCACCCTGCAACTCACAGCTGTCAAGTTCAGTAGGTGTGAACCTGGTCAGTACCTGGATGGGAGACCTCCTGGGCAAGCTAAGGTTGCTGCTGGAAGAGGTGTTAGTTGGTTCATCAGGGGACACTCACCCTGTAGTCTGTGTGGGTCCTAATGCCCTAGTATAGTGACGGGGACACTATACTGTAAAAAGGCGCTGTCCTTTGGATGAGAAGTAAAACCAAGGTCATGACTTTCTGTGCTCTTTAAAAATCCCAGAGCGTCTCTAGAAAAGAGTAAGGGTGTTATTTTGGTGTTCTGCCCAAATTTCTCTTTACCAATCATGGTAATCCTAATAATCCCCATCTATGAATTGGCTTTATTAGTCTGTTCTTCTCCCCACTGCTGTTGCATTATCCATTATGGTGGTGGAGAGGAGTTGCCATTACCTGTAAACTGCCTTGAATGGAGTGTCCAGAAAAGTGTAAAGATTATTATCTTGGGTTAATTTTATCTGGATCATCACACTAGGCTAAAAATTGAATGGCACTCTGGACACGCCATCTCCAAAAAAATCCAACTGTGCAGCATGCCTGAGGTGAAGACAAGTTTAGCCACCAAGTTCCAAACACAACATTATCTACCTGCCTCGAGCTGGCCGTCAATTCAACTTGTTAAATACACTGCGAATATTGTGTATACTTCTGCACATCTGATTCAAGTCAGCACGTTAAGGTTATTTCAGATGTGATGTGCAATTCCTAATGTACCTCTTTACTGTACTTCCTGCACAGCACTTTATTTACATAAGTTGTTTTCCAGAGAATAAAAAGGCTATTTCACACCCACATCTAAACAGAAGGGATTTCCACAATGCAGTTAATGGTGGTTTAAAAGCTGAGCTTTTTGCTCAGTGCACAATGCTTTTAAACACATCATAAATAGTCTCTTTCTAGCTTAGTAGTGATCAGTCTGCACAGTTTTAAAGGCAAAAATGAGATAATAAAGGAGAAGTAAAGAGACAAATATAACAGGATGCAAGAAGACTGGAAAAAATATACCGAAGGAAAAGGCAGATCTTATTAACTTGTCAGCCAGTGATTATTCACCCATTTCTGGGGAGAAAATTCAAGCACCGTCTTGTCTTGTTGATTGGCCGTGTTAAGATCAGTTTCAGTCACAGTGTCCCACATACTTCGAGAACAACCAGCATGCTCTAATGAAACAAAAAGAAACGGTTCCTTAAATAATTCATTTGTGGTTAATTAGCTTATGAGAGCTCTGGAATAACTTTAATAAAGCCAGCAAAAATAGAAATGCACATATTTCTTTGTGATTTATTATTTAATCAAAACAGAAGAACTCCAGGCTGTGCGTTATTCTGTAATAACTGCACTTTCTTATTAGCTTTCGGAAAACCACTGAAAATTTTCTTCAAACTAAAGCTCTTGAAAAACCTGTTCTATTTTTCTGCTTAATGGCTTTTCAAACCCTGCATAGCAGTAAGTAGCTTTTAGCTTTTTGCTGTACTGCAGCATTTTGTATATTATTTCAGTTTCTTTGTTCTTTGACATTTACTCTTATATTCAGTATTTATTAACTATTTGAAAATGACTTTGAAGAAAGTCATTGCAGAATAAGGTGAACTCTGCAGTCGTCCAATAGGGGATATAGCTTGTCAAGTACAGGGGATGTCACTGCTAATTTTCCAGTAACAGAGGGAACAGTCACTAATATCCAGAAGGAGATACACATGCTTCTCTTATCTTAAGACATGATTGAGGAATTAAGGCAGACTTATCTTAGTGAATAACAGCTGTCCTCCATTTTCTAACTGCTTTATCCAATACAGGACCGTGGGGGAGCTGAAGCCTATTCCAGCAAGCAACAGGCTCAAGGCAGGATACACCCTGGATGGGACACCAGTCCATCACAAGGCAGACACAGACACCAACATGCACAGACTCACACTGGCCAATTTTTCCAGAAGTCAATTAACCTGCTTTGGGCTGCGGGAGGAAACCAGAGCACCTGCAGGAAACCCACATGAAGACAGAAAAAATATAAAGAACTTGTAGCAGCCCAGGAATTGGACCGAAGGCCCCACCACTGCACGGCAGCACTGCTAACCACAGTGCCACAACTAAAATCTAAAGTGCCTACTCACTAAAAATCTCTTTAGGATGGTTTGTCATTATTTCATTGTTTCTCAGTTTGCTTCCAAACAGATGTGATTCATTGTTGTGATTCCAGGTATACAGCTGGTGATCCCTCTCACTGGCTGGGCTTGTGGTGCACTGCTGGACAGAGTGAGAGACTCTTCTCCATACACACAGGAAATGAAACACCCAGTGACAGAGTTTCAGTCCTACAGCTGGTACTTAAGCCCCAACTTCCCTGCGGAAAGAATCAGTCTGCCAATAAGCTCAGGTGTACGGGTTGGACCTGAAACGGAATCCGTCATTCAGGATGAACAACAATTAGAGTTGTCAAAATACAGTATGAAATATGTAATTACAAATGCAAATCTCTCTGACATATCTGGACTATCAATAAGGGCTATGTCCTGCAGTCACATTGGATATTGTGGGCAATTTCAGTAAAAACTGTAACAGAATTTCAAACTGTTTTAGTTACCCGAGTTGTAAGCAAAGTTTGTAATTGATGTGCTTTAAACTGTACATATATCACACACATTAAGGCCAGCTTTCAAAGTTTTAAATTATATTAGCAAAGAAAACCTGGTAGTAGCTGAAATGAATATTGAGTATCTACTGTAAGCTAGCTGAAGCAACTGTGTTGTGCTTTCTGAATCCAAAAGGGTTAAATTGGCATGAATAGAAGATCAAAGGAGGACCTGAAAAAGAACCTCAGTGAGCGAGTGGAAGAATTTAATGAGGCTAATTAACATTTATTAAATCTGACCTCTTGCTTTCCAAGCAGATGTCTAAACGAAGAGGCTGAGAGAAAAAAAAGCAGGTGACTGGACAGTTTTTTTACACTTTTTTTCCCCTCTCCCTCTCTTTCTATTATTCCATGATGAGATTCAGCCAAAATGGTAATGAAGTGGTACTTGGAGGATACCAACCTATGTTGCCCAGAATTTAAGTATGTGAGAAAAGTTACAAATAACAGGCATCCATTTGGCCCATCTAGTCTGTTTGGTTGCTAACAGCTTATCAATCCAAGGATCTCATCCGGTCCGTTCCTGAGAGATGTCAGGGTATCAGCTTCAACATCACAGCTGGGTAGCTTGTTCCAAACTCCCACAACCCTTTGGGTAAAGTACCTTGTGTTCAAACCACTTGTTAAATGCACTTCTAAGCACTGTGTAGCAAGATGTTCATCAAATGTTAGCAGGCATCAGAGAAAGATAGAGAACCTGAGATATTAATATCTGTTGGTTCATCAGTATGGGAGGATGTGTAAATGTGGTTCAAAATGCACCTATCCTGTTAAGTCAGAGTACCTCCTAAGTTTTTACATGTGGATCTCCCCTCGACATTCACCCAATATCTGCAACTTAGCAGAGTGATGGAGTCAAAGACGTAGACTAGACTGGTAAGCAGGGAGAGCTGGAGATCAAAAGCTATTGAAAAGCTACTATTTTTATCTGCTTCCTGTTCTGCTGTATTTGTCAAAGTGTAAGAAACGCAGAGTTCTGAAACTGATCTGCGCTAAAGCTTAACAACCTGTTAAAGGGACACAATTATTTTAATGTGGCAGAATTCATACATGTTCTGACAATGGCTCTTCTGTTCCAACACATTAACAGAGTCAAATCAATTATAATGGAGGCAGTAGTGTGTGTCCTGGTTTCTTAATTCTTAGTAATAGCTTAATAGCTGTCAACATCAAGCTTAGCTTGAAGATGAATAGTTAGAATGTGAAGTGGGACTGTCTGTCCAAAATTAAGGGAGACAATATTAAGGGGAAACTGATTGATATCTAATCGTTATTATTTGTTTTCCTGCTCCAAGTCTTGTTGAGCATGTTATCTGGAATTCTGTTATTTTCTGTATTGCTTGTTGAAGTTCATTT